TGGTTGTGTGTCTGTGTCTATCTCTATGTATGTCTATATGTCTTTGTTTGTGTGCCTATGCATGTGTATCTATATGTGTTAGTGTGTGCATGTGTCTACCTTGATGTGTGTGTTTGTGTGCCTCTATGTCTGTGTCTATGTGATTATGCGTGTGTATGTGTATGTGTTTGGGTGTGTGTGTGCTTGTGTATGTCTTTCTGTGTATTTATTTATGTGTGTCTGTGAGTGTGAGCATGTGTCTGTGTTCCTTTGTGTATGTTTCTATGTGTGTGCATGTCTATCTTTTTATGTATTTGTGTGTGTGTTTATTTGTGTGTTTGTCTTTATGTGATTGTGTGTGTTATTGTGTTTGAGTATGTGTGTGAGTGTGGTTGTTTCTGTATTTTTGTGTGTGGTTGGTTTTCGGTGTCGGTGTGTATGTGTTTGTGTCTTTTTGTGTTTGGTTAGGTGTGGGTGTCTTTGTGTGTATGTGTTTGTGCTTGTGTGTGTTTTTATCTCTATGTGTCTATGTTTGCATTTATATGTGTGGTTGTCTTTGTGTGTATGTATGTCTTTATGTGTGTTTGTCGGTGTGTCTCTATGCGTGTGAGTGTCTATGTGTGTTTGCATGTTTCTATGATTGTGTGTATGCGTGCCTTAGTGTGTGTGTTTGTGTGTATTTGTGTCTTTATGTGTCTATATCTGTGTGCATGTATATCTTTATGTGTTTTTGCGTGTGTTTTTGTGTCTAAGTGTGAGTGTGTGTGTGTGTGTGTATGTGTCTAGGTGTCTTTGGGTGTGTTTGCGTGTGTGTCTATATGTGAGTTTGTGTGTGTGCGTGTCTATGGGTTTTTGTGTGTGTGAAACCACTGATTATCTAACTAATAAGAGTAAATGAAATTAAACAGGTTAATTTGTCATCAATAATTATATTACCTAATTGGTAATCAAAGAACAAAACTCACCAAACCCAAGTCCATTATAATCAATATAAGTAGTTGCAAAAATCAAGGTAAATCAATGTTCATTTATTACTCTCCTAGATATTTGTGTTCATTCTAACTTGAGCACTACCCTTCGGAGTTGTCAGCTAGCAAGGAGTCTAAAGCCTTACGCGAAGATTTACCAGTATACCCATTAGACAGGTATAGATGCAGTATATTTTTAACTTTGTCATGTTGTCAAAAAATTACAAAACATAGTTTCACATGTGATATAAAACTTAAAACTAGAGATGGAATGATTATGGATCCTACTTTGACCATTTTGATAAAGTCCTTAAGATTTCTTCCAAACTATGTTGCCATGGGAATAGCTCGAAAGAAATTATGACATCTCAATTGTATTATTCTATTTGATTATTTTTTCACCTCAATTGTGATCCTTTTTTGCAAAAATTTGAAGTGTTTTGATTTTGAACTTTAATTATTTTATTTGATCATATAAAATTAAGCTCAAGAACATCATGTTTGATAACTAGCCTTCATGAATGCGAGCTCTATTGTCTTCAAAGAGTTGACAACCATGACAGAAGGATATAGTCATATAGTGACTTAATATTTTTCTTTTTGTGTGAGAAAATTTGTTCAGGTTAATTTTTGTGAAATGTGAATAGAATTTGTTAATGTCAGATAAGCAAAAGAAGTACAATGTATTGCTCTTAAGTAGGTTTTTTAAGAAGGGAGAATCTTGTAGTGGGATGCTACAAGTAGGTGTTTCTTCGGGTGCAAGAAGTGATTTCTTTAATAGTGTAAAAGTGTATTGCATGTGGTATTGTGATTGTAAAACTTCTAATATTAAGGATTAGCGAAAAATCTCAATCAGGTTGATTGGGAACTAGATGTAGGTCACAAATGGATGTGGTCGAACCAATATAAATTGGTTGTGTGTTTTTCTCTCTCCCAATACTTAAGTTTACATTCTTTTATTTCTATTATTTTCATGCTTGTTGATATGTTTCGTGAGGCATGTACGTTGCATTAAGAATTGAGTGAATTTAGACTTGTATTAAATCTAAACTAAGTATCCTATATACAACTATAGATCAATACACTTCTTTGGAAAGATTTAGAAAAGTTTTGCAAAATCAAGATAGCTGTGCAAGAAATTTTTAATCAACCAATTCACCCTCCCTATTGGTTAGGCCATCTTTTCTAACATTATGATGTTTGATAACCAAATCATCTTTGTCTATATTATTCCACAACAAATCAAAGCAATAAAAGCTTTTTTGGTACTTGAAGTTCAAAGAAAGGAACTGAGACGTGTTTTTCATTAAAGAATGGACAAACAGATATCTCAAAATATGCAAAGTCTTAGTCAGATAAAGTCATTTTTTACTACACACACAACAATTCATCTAGTTTTGCACCTTAAAGGTGATAAGTAGCTTTCTTGATCAATTAAGTGACAATTTAGTGAAATGCATTTAGTGCTCATATTTAATGCACTAACGAACACTTTTATCTACAAAGAACGAAGACGAAGAAAGAATGTGAGAAAAACTCAAGGATTCGCAATAGTCATCTTCATGAAATACTTATATAAAGAAGTTTGAAGGCTTATAAAGAAAGAAGAAGAAGAACTATTGTAAAATAATTGCATTTCATTCTTTCTATAAAAACTCTATACTTAATGAGATAGAAAGAAGAAGAACTATTCATCATGTCCTGTGAGTAAGATGAAATAATAAGTGATTTCCTAACTTTAACTTTATATTATAGTGTAAAGCCTAAAAAGGTTGTTGTAAAAAATATTTGGTTGTTGAAGCTTGAAAAGACTGTTGTAAAGAATACTTAGTTGTTGAAGTATAGGAAGACTTTGTTGTTCAAAAAAATCTTGGATAGTTACTTAAAGAAGCAAGTCAAAGAATACTTAGGTTGAACTAGAAGTGACTTGTGAAAAAATACTTGTATCTTTGTAAAGATAGTGAAACTTGATTAGGTTGATCAAGAACTACAAGTAGTCTCGGTAGTTGAGACAAAACAATATAAAAATACTTTGTGTTCTTTACTTTTTACTCTTCATCTGCACCTTTAAAGTCTTTATACTACTTTATTATTTCAAAAAATGTCTTGAGTTTTCAATTGATACTATACAACCCCCTTCTAGTGACTCTTTTCTCTCCACAATCCCTTATAACACCATCGCGCACAACATGACTATAAGCTTATTTGGATACAATCTATAAGGACTTTTGAAAGCTTTTCTACTAAAAATAATGAGTACTTTCTAGTAGAGAAGCTCTTAAAAATCCTTATAAACTTGTATCCAAGTATGTTCTAAATTTATCAATCCATAATTGACACTAACCTTATTCCAACCCATGAAAGGCAAGTCCCTCACCATTATTTATACCTATATATAAAGGCAATCCCCATTTTTCACATACACGTTATTCTTTTTTTTTTGTTATATAACTTTAACCTTTTAATGAAAATAAAACAATGCATGGTAATAATTAATAAAAGTCACAAAAATCTTCTGATGCTGAAGTTTTATTCTTAAAACTATTATTGAATAACAATAATCGCACACTATCTCACTAACCTATTCAAGCAAAGACAAGAAATGTTTTTTTTCCTACTAATTAATCAATAATGTGAATAATATAAGGCATTTAAAGAGTATTTATAACTCATAATGAAGTCTTGGTCAGATTCTAAACAAAAACATAATAAAATATTAATTTTCTAAAGTATATTTTATTGTAGATAAAATCTAAGAAAATAAAATTTTCTAATTAATATAATTATCATATTTTTTTTAGATTAAAAATAGTGAATAAACCCAATATTTTTGTGCTTCAAAATTGACTTTGTGAAACTCATTGTGATTATAGTGATTTTTGTTGACCATGATATCTATTCAAACAATGAGAAATTATTGATTTTTTTTGTTATAAATAAAAAAAAATCTTAAACTCATGTTATGCAATGTTTCAGCACACAAAAACTCATCTTAATTTTTTCTTTTATAAACACTTGTTGAGAATAGGATGACAAATATACATGTACCCGCAAGTAATACTCAAACCCGTCCCGACTTTGACGGAGAATACCCGGTTTGACCGGATACGGGTACGGGTAAAACCCGATATATTAAATCGGGTACAGGTACAGATATGTACTTACCCGCCCCGTACCTGTACCCATCCTCATCCCCGTTCCTATTTTTAATTTAATACCCACTTTTAATTTAATTATATTAAAGAATTTTAATATTTTTTATATGTGATTATTTATTATAATATGAGATAGAGAAATAACCTAATTATAATTATAATATAATAAAAAAATAATTTAAAAATATCAGTTTTTTTACAAAAAATAAAAAATAAAAAAATTGACGGGTACAGATAAGGGTATGATATACCCGATACCCAACGGGGACAGGGATGAAAATCATATACCCAACGAGTACGGGTACGGGGACGGAGATGAGTTTGACTCGCAGGGATGGGAACGGGTATCATGAAACCCGTACCCAACCCGCCTTGTTGCCATCCCTAGTTGAGAAGAATATTGAAAGTGACTATTTATAAAATAATGGTTTAAATTCGTCATATTGGAGAATGTTCAACGTGTGTTTTTAAGAACCAGATTCAGTTCAATCGAAAGTTACACGCATTTATGTAATCAGCCATTTGTAACCGTTAGGTGAAGATCAGACAGCTCGTGTTTTATTTTCATAAATCAAATTGAAAATATGTGTTTGATATTTGAGTTATCTATCTTTATCCATGATTACAAAACACTATCTCTGTAAATCAATGTAATTTCTAACCGCAAGCGATCCAGATCCATGTATTTATGAAGATACCACATATATTTCAAAAATGAACCATTAAACACCTTTTTTAATTTTTGTCTATGATATGATCTACACAATTTGTCAATGTTGATAACTAAAGACTAGGTTACGCTCGTAATAGTCGATCAAAACAGCTTTAACGATAATAATAAGGCCCCTCAAGTGATTTAGGGATCAATGGATTCAAAAGCTAAAAACTCTCAAGAATCTGACAAATTTGGAAAATAATCAAATGATACCTTATTAATTGTGAAGAAGATAACATAAAGTATTGTAGCAAAGCAAATAACATAGGGGATGGAGAGCTCATGCCATTATCTTGGCAGACCTAACAAAAAGACTGTCCACGACTTTCTCAGTATTAGAAATGGTTTCTAAGGTTGCAGGGTATATTGCATCAGTTTTGGGATCATCAAAAATGACAAGGCATCCAGCTCCTTGATCCAATGTCCCAGCAAACTTCTTGTCCAAAATCATCTGAGACAACTTACGTTCCACGTGATCAACAGGAAGTTCAATTAGTTCTGCAATGTGTGCAATCTCGACCCTTGAGAATGGTTCAATCAATCTGCAAAGGTTCTGTTCCAGAAGAGTGTCATACAGGGATGACAGGTGTCTGTGAACAATTGGGTCTTCCTCCAGCTGAGCCTTGTAATCTCGCAAAGTGATCTCGAATAACTTGAGAGATCGCTTAGAATGAGCGTCCGCAACAGCTTTCATGGCATCCAAGTCAGGCCCAAGATATTTCAGGCCAGCTTTGGAAGATATGATTCCAGTCACATCATCAGCTTGACTCACCATGATCTTACACAACAACATGTATTTCAGGCTATAGACAGCCTTAGGGTCATCAAGAGCATTGAAAGATTCAAAAGCTTCAAAGAAATAACTGTATGCAGTTTTGTAATCCTTCTCCTCAGCATGAAGAATCCCACTCTGCAGATCTATGGCACCTTGTTGAGCTGGAGGAACGTAAATAGCATTTGCAGCTGTTCTTGCGGCTGTGAGGGCAGCTTTTGCCTTCGGAAAGTTTCTCAAGGAGAAGTGTAACTTGCTTTCGAGCAAGTCTATGTCTACAAGTAGAAGCTTGTCATCTAATCTTCTAACCTCTTTGACCAGGCCACTGAGGAGAGCCAAAGCTTCGGAATACTCCTTATTTTCCATCAGAAGTGCTGCAAGCCTGGCCTCAACCCGCTGCCTCAGAAAGGTACGCTTTTCAGCACGAGTCCATTGCACCATTTCTTTGCATAGTGCAATTTGTAGATTAGAAGTCCCTGGTATTTTGGCAACAGAATCAATTATGCCCCTCACAATCTTCGCAGTTTTTGCCTTGGGAATCAAGGAAAAGAAGGGCCTCAACTGAGTGAGAAGGCTGCGAAGATCCTCTGCCCTATTTTCTTGCTTTAGAAGGTCAGTGAGGTTGGTGATGGCCTGCTCTTTCATGCGCAGAGCTTCTGGAGAAGAAGAAGGATCATCAAGTACCCGATAAAGAATGAAGATGGACTCAGACGGGTCTCTGTCTTTGGCCTCCAACGCCAATTCAATTGACTCTGTTGTGGCAGGAAGAAAAGACATGACTGCTGCTTAAACAAAGTTCTGCAAAAGAATATATAGTTTAAAAGAAGATAAACTTAAATACCAATGGCCTTTGTATCAGTATCAATTCAATTGTTAAGTGAAAAATAACATCTCACTAATTAAACTCTCCCACCAGTCCCCCAAAAGTAACAAGCTTTTAGCAGTTAAAAGCAAGCTATACAGAATTTACAAAATTGACCGGGTGTAATTTAAGAGGAAGCGAAGCAGGTCATATGTTGTTTGAAGATCCTTGATGAAAAACATCCATATATGGCTAGCATTGCAATGAAAATCAAATATTACTTGATATTTCAAATTAAGATGTCTATTTTTAAGTAGCACTAGAAAGAGGATGCACAGATACAGGAACAATAAAATGACTAGTGAATATTCCTTATTTGAGTACACTTGCCACACAATGTGAAGGCAAGATAAAAATAAAATGAAAAATAAAAAAGTACATGTTAAATGTCTTATTGATTAGAAGGTAAGACAGCAGAGAAGGACATAAAATCAATTCTTCCAATCAGAACATAGGTCATGCCATCTCCTATTAATTTAACCTTTCTCAGAATCTATACTCCCAGGGTTTAACCATATTTCAGAGAGGCAATTTATATTTACAGGCTGTGTTCTTGTCAGGTTAAGACAAGGGTACAACCGTCAAAACAAATAGCTTGTGGCACTCAAGCTAAATATTAGCAAATACTAAATACAACACAGCTTGCTTCACTTCCATAGTCCCATAGAATTAAGAGACATCCAAAACTACAACACAATCAGATGATTATTGAAAAATAAGATTCAGAGCAAGTAGGAAACCTAAATAATTCCTTATAACTACACATAATTGAACATGAAAGCAGTTCCAATAACAAGTTTATTAGTTCAGAAAATAGCATTCCCAATTATTAAATTGCAACCTAAATCAAACCATAAAGAAGAAAATTTATAGACTAAAGTAAATAGTAATATTTATCATGGGTCATTGGTTTTCAGTCTTCCATTTTAATTGACACCTTAGAACTGGAGAGAACCACGTAAACATATTTATACTGTTGTTCAAAAGGTTTATAACAGAAGATGGGTATTATGGTAATGGGTCTAGCCCAATCTAGCTCCTTTTCCAAGGGTCTTGCAGATATCCACAAAAATCTGATCACCAAACAATATCCTAAATGTTAGACAATGAAGATGCTGATCTAAGCTTAATGTGAATCAAAGAAAAAATGATTTGGAACTAGGGAGTCTTGCTTCTTAGCTCTGATCTAAGTTCCAACACGCTAGGTTGTGACAAATGTTGACACAAGGGACCAATAAACTTGTAGCTCAACCGTTGATGTTAGAGGTTTAATCTGCACGAGACCACCTATGCCCCCAATACATAGGTGCTTGCACCTTCCAATATAACTGGAAAAAAATTACAAGGCAATTTGGGATGCACATACCCCAAAAGTAATTGAAGGACAAGAGCCCAAAAATTTATAAAGCTTCTTAAGAAAGTGAATTATGGACCCTAGTCCAAACTTACAAAACCGGCATGTAAGATGAAGATTATCTCCACTTATATACTTTATTTTGACTTTATCTTTAATTGATGTACGACTTGAATTTTTTCCAATACATTTCATGCCCAACAACACTATTGGACTTAATGCATGAATAGATGGTGTATGAATTTTTTTAAATGATCTAAGATAGGCAGAATTTGAATTTTTCTCAATACACTCCTTCATGCCCAATACTATTAAGCTTGGTATGTGTATAAATGGTGGGTAACCCTTTTTAATAGATCTAACACACATCTTCAAAAGTGCCAAGCAGATGTGGGATACCCTAGCTCTAACCTACGAGGGATCCCTAGAGGTAAAACGCAACAAGCTAAGCTTGTTGGTTCGTAAGTATGAACTCTTCAAAATGGAAGAGAACGAGTCCATTGCACTGAGTGTGAAAAAGACAAAATCTACACCATCATCTTCGAAAGCATTAAAGGTAGAAGAAGCGTCTGATGAGAGTTGTGGTGAAGAGACATGTGATTCAGACGATGAGATATTCTTCCTATCAAGAAGGATCCATTCTATGATGAAAAAGAAGGGAGGGTCACAATGGAGAAAATTCAACAGAACTCCAAGAGATAAGGCATAACCAGTATGCTTTGAATGCAAGAAACCAGGACATTACAAAATAGAATGTCTAGAACTGGAGAAAGAGTAGGAGAATGAAAAGTCAACCTGCCACAAAAAGAAGAAGGCCATGATGGCCACCTGTGAAGATCTAGACATGTCATCATTTGAAGATGATGAGGAAGAAAATATATGTCTCATGGCAAACACAGACTCTTTAACAGAATCTGATGATGAAGAGGTTAGTGAATCTGATTTTAAAACTCTTCAACATGCATATAATCAACTTCTGTCGGATTTGACAAAAATTTCTACAGCCTATAAAGAACAAAAGAAAAGGATTTCTGAATTGCTTGAGGAAAACCTTTCTCTTAAAAATGAAAATGCAAATTTGTTGAAAAAGTCATCAAAAGGTTTTGAAAAATGCAATACAACTTCAGAAGAAGTAAATATGCTTAACAAAGAAATTGATTTACTAAAATCAGATTTATCAAAGTTCACCCTAGGAACTAAGAATCTTGAATAGATTTTAAAATACTTTAGGAGCGGCAATGATAAATCAGGAATAGGATATGCTAAATTTGAATATGAAAACAAATCAAGTACATCTACATATTCTACTTATGGGAAGCATGGACATTCTACGTCCAAGTGCAGTCACATGTACAAGAAGAGGTATTCCAAAACCACAAACTCTAACACTCATGGACCCAAATCCATTTGGGTACCAAAGACTGAAATAGTACCTGTCGCAGATCTATTCAACAAAGAAAATAAGTGTCCAGTCATGGTACCTGGACAATGGGTGCTCGCGACACATGACGGGAAGAAGGTCTATGTTCCAAGTGTTAAGTCAGACGAAGCAACTCCTAACGCTTTACAAATGATAGATATATGGTTTGGTTTACTCTCACAAAGAGGATACAAATGTTTGTACACTCACTAAGGTATGCAACCTTAGTTCACTACAAGAAAAACGCAAATTTCCGACGAAAAATTTCTAACGAATTTATATTTTCGTCAGAAATTTTTGACAGAATTTTCTGTCAGAAATTTCCTATAGAATTATAAATCTGTCGGAAATTTCTGACAGAAAATTTTCGATGGAAGATTTTGTCAGAAATTTCTGACTTTTGTGTGAAAAATACCAGGGGCCCAAAAGGTGGTCTAGTTTTGAAGATACAAAAATTTGTGAAGCTATATTTTTCCTAAACTTCAAATGGCCATAAGTTTTGCTCTGGTTATTAGAATTGGGCAAAAAAAAAATTTTCAAAAAAAGGTCGTTTACTTTTTTTTTCTTCTAATTTTGAAGTTTTATTTTCCTATTTTTCCAAACTTTTCATAGGTGGTTCATATAGTTAGGCTTTGAATTTTTCTCTCAAATTTTTTGTGGTAGTTTCTAATGATTTTAAGATGATATTGGTGCATTAGTTTTTATGTTTTCTGAGTTGTCATGGAAATTCTCATGTTACCCCTACTGTTCATGTGTCATGATGCATAGGTGCAACCCAGGTTTTTTGCATCCATTTGATCCTGAGATTGATAGGACATTCCATAGACTAATTAGAGAGCATATCATTCCATCTTTAGATAGTAATAGTCATAATGATAGCCATAGTGATACTCTTAGTGTAACTGTTGCATCTAAGCTTGATTCAATTCAAACAGAAACCATGGGTGAACAACCTTATAATGGACCCCGTGAGAGGACTCTTAGGGAGATGGCTGCACCTGATTTCACATATGAGAGTTTGTGCATTCAATATCTTGAAGAAGATGTTCCTTTTGTGCTTAAAACTGGACTAATCCATTTGTTGCCCAAGTTTCATGGTCATGCAGGTGAGGATCCACATAAACATCTGAAGGAGTTCCATATTGTTTGTTCTACCATGAAGCCTCCTGATGTTCAAGAGGACCACATTTACTTGAAGGAATTTCCACACTCATTGGAGGGAGTTGCTAAAGACTGGCTATATTATTTGGCTCCCAAGTCCATCACCAGCTGGGAAGATCTTAAAAGAATGTTTCTGGAGAAATTCTTCCCTGCCTCGAGGACCACTACAATTAGAAAAGATATATCAGGGATCATGCAACTTGGTGGAGAGAGGGAAGAGAACGAGTCCATTGCACTGAGTGTGAAAAAGACAAAATCTACACCATCATCTTCGAAAGCATTAAAGGTAGAAGAAGCGTCTGATGAGAGTTGTGGTGAAGAGACATGTGATTCAGACGATGAGATATTCTTCCTATCAAGAAGGATCCATTCTATGATGAAAAAGAAGGGAGGGTCACAATGGAGAAAATTCAACAGAACTCCAAGAGATAAGGCATAACCAGTATGCTTTGAATGCAAGAAACCAGGACATTACAAAATAGAATGTCTAGAACTGGAGAAAGAGTAGGAATTATAATAGATAAGCTGTAGATAAGAAAGATGAACAGAAATAAATAAATAAAATATTATTTTTTAATTTTTTCCCCTTTTTTTTTATCAAATAATTTTACTTATTTTCACTCTCATATTTTCACTCTTTTGAATCTAATTCTTACTTATTTTCTCTTAACCAAATAAAGCATTAATGAAATTTCCTTTTCCAATAATTTTTTTTTTTTATATCTTATCAAAGAGATTGGCTCTAATGCCAATTGGACTAACTACTTGCTTATACAATTAGAATTTAAATATAAATATATTTAAATTAAAATAAATTTAAATATATTTTTAATCTTTTAAATTTAAGTAAATTTGTTTTTGATAACTCAAATTTAAAATTAGTTTTTTATTTTTGTAATTTTTAAAATATTATATTAATATCTCAAGTCACTAATAATATATCTGAAAATAACAAATTAAAAAAGTTATGTAATATCAACGAAATTTAATGTAAAAGAAATACTAGTAAGTAGATTGTGTAAGACAATATTGACTTCTTTAAAAAATTGAACATAAGGATTAAAACAATATTTTTAAAAATTACAGGGATTAAAAAGAGTGATTTTAAATTTGAAGAGTTAAAAAAATTTACCTTAATTCTATGGACTAGAAACCATTAAAATATACAAATTATGCAATAATCAATCTCCTTTGCATATAAATTAGAATAAATATATTCAATAAAAATGTATAATTCAATCTCCTTTGCATATAAATTAGAATAAAATATATTCAATGAAAATATTTTTGGAGACAATTATTCAACCAAATTTGTTGTAGTTTTTATTTATTTAATATTGAGTAGTTATAGATGGAATTGAAAATGCATGTCTAATATTGAAAAGATCATATTGTATCCTATAAGACTTACATGAGTGTCTGTAGATAAGTCCTTTAGAATGGTGCATTACACACCTCAAGAGTTTAAATTAGTTTGTGTTCTCAACATTCATGGACAACAATCTAAAAGACTTAAAGTTGTCTACGAAAATTCTTGATGAATGTAAGAGATGAGCACGAGACTATGACAACAAAGAGAACGCAACTTATGCGCTACTGCGACGGTCACATGTGGAGGAGAACAAGGTGTCAATTGGTCAGTCCTATGTGATTCTACAATTGTTGAGTCTCCTGTAAAGTAATGAGTTTTGTAGGAAG